ATATTGAGGTATTGGGAGTGGAGTGGAGTGGAGTGGAGTCGGCAATAACAATGGAAGGTGCTAGGTTGAGAAGTGGAAAATGGAGCCGGCAGAAATAGAATTGTGATTTTTTGATTTTTTGATTTTTGATTTTTTTTTTAATTTTTTTGATTTTTTTTTGATTTATTGAATAGAAACTAAATCTAAATAAACTAGAATCCACAAAGCACAATTTTCCATTTTTCATCAATTTCCTCTTTTCTTTTCTTTTCTTTTTTCACAAATTTTACGTTAAAACTTAAAACTAAAACTAAAACTAAAACGTGAACAAAATTAATATGACAAATAATTAGCAAATAAAAGACAAATAAAAAGGTAACAACTAAAATGCAGACAATCTAAAACAAAATCATGAATTAGATGCAACATACAAATTATTTAAAAATTTGGTGTCTACAAATCATAAGTGTAAAATTGCAGCTTGCAGCGCCTACTGGACAACGGAGGCTTTGTGGTTTGATGCGAGGTACATGACCTCGCTTTTGAGAAATGCGAGATACATATACCTCGCATTTGTGAAATGCGAGGTCATGCACCTCACATTTCTGAAATGCGAGGTCAGCTTTTGTTTTTTGATTTTTTTTTTTAATTTCGGTGGTAGAAAATTGAAGGAGAGTTCGCATTCAGCAAATGCGAGCTCAAGGAACTCGCATTTGATGAATGCGAAGATCCTAAAAACAGAAACCAGTACACAAAATACCCCCTTTGTAGAATTTTTTTAAAAATCATCATAATTTTAGAAATTTTTCAGGAAAGGAAACCAGAAATGAGAGAAATGCTTATTCGATGCATGCATGAAAATGTTATCAAAATTGCACTTTGCTCCCTGTTGTTTTTGTCTAATGCTACTATGACCCAACTAATTGGATAACTTAATCAATTTTGTCCCCTTAACATGCCATTTTTCTTTAACATATATTAACGTGATTCTTAGATAGATTTTTTAATGAGTTTTAGGATGAATTTGAAGGTTTAATAACTTTTTCTAAACTTATAGTTTTGATTTGAATTTTAGTGGAATTTTGGGCAATTTTGTCATTTAATTATAGAAAATGGCATTTTATTCATTTTTCGTGAATTTTAGCATTTGGCTTTGGTAGGTTTCATCTTAAACCTAATGTTTGTAATAATAATGATTTGATTCCTTAAAATTCTTTAATTCTTTCAATTGGATCCTTGTTTGTTTTAATTTGTCAAATATGAGTTGTTTACTTTTATTTGAATGCTTTAATTGATTCAATTTCGGGTTTATTTTCTATTTCTTGTGATTATTTTTTAATTAAAGTGATGTCTTGACCATTTTATTGTTTTGGAGGGTAAATAAGAAAATTGCCTTTCATTAGACAACCAATTCAAGGGAGGTACACTCTACTCCTTCATTTTGATTTTAATTGACCCTATGTACCCCTATGTGACTTTTATGTGTGTAATTGCATGTCTTTTAAATGTTTTTATTTTATTTATTTATTTAGTCATTTTAATTGTTTTGATTTTATATATTTATTTTAATTTAGTTTTTAATCATTTGAGAGGCATTTAAATGCCAAGATGTAATAGTTAGATATTTTATTTTATTTTATTCCTTCCACCCCTTTAGATTGTAGTTAGGGCCCCCAAATATAATAGTTAGGGCTTTATTCGATTTATTTGCTTTATGTGTTTTGCATGCTTGTGTGTTATGTGTTACTCGCTTTATTAGGGTCTTGCATCTAAATACCATGCTTATGTGCGTTGTGTTTTATGTGATTTATGTGTTTATTCGCTTTATTATGTTTTATATAATTTATTTGATTGTAATAAATGCATGACGTCACCACACTAGTCCAACGCTAGTTGTGGTCCTTTGTTTCGATTTCTCGCTAGTCCAATGCTAGTGAGAACTTATAGACATGGGCTAGTCCAACGCTAGACCCTTAGGGACCGTTCACGCATTAGACCATCTTTGTGTGACACAATCACTACATTTTCATGCATATTTTTCACCTTTTAGGATTTTTATCATTTCGCATGACATTTCCTCCTTATACGTATATCCCTTATCCCATATGCTCCTATATGTACATCTATTATCCCGTATTTCCCCTATATGTATATTCCTTACCCCTGTGTGTGAATCATGACATTAGATTTGCATTTCATTTAAGAATTAGAACTAGATTAGATCATTTGTTTGATTAGATAGGAAATACTCCTCAAATATGGGATATGGACGAGTTTGGCTTTCTAACCTTAGTACACTCGTATTCCCTCTATAAAAGGGAAAATTGAAGTCACGAATCTTAGTTCCCCGCACCTGTTATGATGCATTCCTTTAGGTCATGTATATTTGTATCTTATTATTTTCTTTTCTTCGAGTCTCATATTTTTTGCATATTCATGGCCTCTTCAAAGAATCACTCTTAGGCATCACAATTAATGTGATTGGCACAAATTAAGTTTTGAAGAGATATTCCGACCCCCCCCCGATACACTAGGTCTATGTTTGCATCCATATAGTGACATCCAAATGTGATAAATTCTTAGATTAAAATAAGAAGATTTTTTACTAAATCACGCAACTAGCCTTGGTTGGTTGAAAGGGTGCCTTGGATTATTATCCTTGTCTTTCCTTTTTTCAAATGCGACTCCCAATCCCTTTTCTCTGATTTTCGAAGATTTGGAGTCATTTAAAAAGGGTTTATTTCTACTTTTTCTTTAAAAATTCATTTTTAAGTGACTTGGTACACCTTAACTCAATACCAAGTGGTGACTCCTATTTTTCATTAAAAACCCTTTTTAAACTATTATTTTAGGTCAAAACCGTCGCATTTTTAGTCCCATTTAGGCCCACATTTCTTTCTTTATTTCCTAAAAATCAAAAAATCATTTTTTAATCAAAATTAAATCAAAATTCATTTCTTTATTCATTTTTCTGAAAGTAAAAAACTCATTTTTCACTCAAAAATTAACCAAAAACCCTTTTTTCTAAATTTATTATTCATTTATTCTTCTTTAAAAATGGGGCGCGACAAAAAGCAGATGGACATCATGAACAAATAGTAAAGCTCATGGAAGAATTCATCATGGTACAGGGATAACTTGCGACTTGGTGAAAGGAGGATGTTGATGATGATTTAGAATTATGATAACCCATGTGGTACTTGAAGTAAGAAGCTCACCTCTTGTAGTTAATAGCAGGTGGTTACTTTTTAAAGCAAGTGTAAAGCAAGTTTTGGAGTAATTAAGCAGTTGTAACAATTTTATCTATCAATTTGAATCCCTTCTCTTGCACATAACAATGAGATTATTTACATGATGGATGGAGATTTGTGTAATGTTAGTCTTTTATCTTGGAGATCGATTGATAAGCTTCAGTTTGCTTTTGGTTATTTCCTGTAATTGTTCCATTTCCTTCTAATTTATTGCCCTTTCTATTTCTTGATTTTTATGAAATTCGTTGTAGGCTTGTATGGAGTGAGGTTGTGACGTAGAATTATAGCAGCAATCTTCTAAAGTTTGAACCCTACTAGCAACGGATCAATGTCGTGCATCACAAACCAGTTTATGTACTACAAACTAGTTTCCCTTGTGTCAATGCCAAAATTATAAGATGGTTTATGTAACTTTATGGATCAACGTAGTGCATCGCAAACCAAACTTGAATATTATAAATCAATGTAGTGCATCACAAATCAAACTCTAATAACTAAGTATTTATGGGCAAACTTGAAATCTTTCACTGCACAATCAGGAAATTGATCAAGGCTTTGTTGTTAGGTGTACATAAATATTGCAAAGCTGTTTCATTGATATTCACAATGAAACATCTAAATCAAGCATCTGTGGTGAAGAATTAATCATCTCTTGTTTAGATATGAGCCTAGACAACGCCTTTAAAAGCTCAAGATGCACTGCTTGCTTTAGTTAATTGGTAAAACTGGTGGAATGCCTTTCATGATCCTCGGCACATGTTACAGTTGTACACTTTAATGATGATGCTAAATAATATTGGATAGCTCTTTTTTAAAAACCTCAACATATTCTATCTAATCTTTTTAGCATTAATAGTGCTTAATTGTTATACATAATCTATTAACTCGTACGATCCCTAATATCACTAATCTAACCAATAACAAATACCAACCCAATTAATATTTCATAGTTACTATTAGATTTTTAAGATATTTGAAGTAAGCCTTAGGACAACTAATTCTACATCAACTACACATCAACTATTGTTAATATATATCTAGTACTCAGATCTTAGTAAAATTTTAACTCTATTATCAATGTAGTATAATATAGTAGACACATTACTTCTATCTTATTAATTGACTAGATAATATTGTAAATTTTGTCAAAGAAAAATGTTATTTTTATACCAAATGCTAATATGATAATTAACTAATTCAATAAATTGCTCAGCAATAGGCATACTTAGATAGCACGGGAAGTGGTTGAATTTAAAAAAGATTTACAACAGGTACGAATCCAATTATGGGATCAAGTAATATTAGTGTTTAGCTAATGTGAAATTCAAGATCAATGGATAATAACCTAAAAGTTCAATCTTTGTAATTTTACAATATAAAAAGCAAAATCCACACTCAAAAGAAAAACAAAAATGGTTTACTTGAATTTATAAAAAAAAATAAACAAAAATGTTTGAGCATGAATTTATTAATATTAAAAAACTAAAAGGTTTCAAACCTTGCATATGTTAAATGCGAGGTACTGGACCTCACATTTGACAAATGTGATTGAAGCAATTTTTTTTTTTGGGTTTTTGCAACTCAGAAATTCAATGATAAATCGCATCTGCAAAATGTGAACTTAGTGAGCTCGCATTTTGCAAATGCGATCATCACTTGATGGAATGCTACATACAAAAAGCCCCATTTGTAGAAAAATTTTAAATTTCATCATAAAATTAGGAATTTCTCCTGGTTTTTGAAGGTTTATCTAGTCTACTAAATAATGCCATGAGGGAACACAGGATATCAGGATTAAAAATTGCTCCTGAAAGTCCTACTCTGTCACATCTCTTTTTTGCATATGACACATTAATCTTCTGTAGAGCATCTAAAGAAGAAGTAGGTAAGGTCAAACAGCTGCTAGAGATATATGGAGAGGAATCAGGACAACGTATAAACACAGAGAAATCATTTGTGCTATTTAGCAAGAACACGGAAGAGAGCAGCATTGAGAAGATTCTGAATGCGTTGGGAGGAATGAAACAAGTGAGGCAGAGTAAATACTTGGTGCTTCCTATGATAATTGGGAGATCTAAGAAACATGTTTTCAAATATATAAGAGAAAAAGTGAATAGTAGAATCAATGGATGGAAGGAAAAACTGCTAAGCCAAGCTGGTAAAGAGGTGTTGTTGAAAGCATACCAAACTATGCTATGAATTGTTGCAGATTACCAATTGGACTGTGTAAAGACATAAGAAGAGATATGGCTAAATTTTGGTGGGAAAGTAAGGATGATGAAAGAAGAACACATTGGATGGGGTAGCAGAAATTGACTGAGGTGAAGGGTAAGGGCGGATTGGGGTTTAGAGATTTGCAAGAGTTTAATAAAGCCATGTTAGCAAAACAGTTGTGGAGAGTGATAACCAAGCCAAATTTGATGATCAATAACATTCTGAGAGGAAATTATTTCAAAGGAAATCTATATGGACAATGAAAACTAGAAATGCTGATTCTTGGATGTGGAAGAGTATGCTCAGTGCAAGGGAGGTGTTGGAAAAATGTGCTAGGAAAAGATTAGGGGACGGACGTGCAGTTAACATATGGAAGGATAGATGGCTTTTAGACAAGGGTCACGGTAAGATAATATCTGCAAGGCCACTAGATTGTCAAATAAAAATGGTGCAGGAAATAATACATAATGGTGAATGCAATAAAACAGTAATGCAGGGAACTTTTAATGCAGAGGATTGTAAAAGGATTCTGGCCACTCCCATTAGTTTATATGGAGGAAAGGATGGACTTATACGGCCTTACACCACAACTAGAGAGTATTCAGTGAAGAGCAAAAGAGATGCAAAAAGAGAGAAAAGGTGTGACGACCCCATCTTCCCCTAGGGCGTACCCCAGAGTTTAGCAGACCGCCTGCCCAACTCTCGCCAGGACTCACTCACTCACTTCAAATAAAATAGTTCCCAACCTCAAGTGTAAATGGAATAACAGTTCCCAAATTTGGAACATATATGTACATTCATTTCTATTCCAAACATTCATACAATCTCAAATATAACAAAAGATATGAATTCCAGATACATTCAATCCGAATCGAGCACTAGCACGAGTACAATCACAAAAATTCAAAAACTAGACTATGCTAGCCTGTACCAGTCTCACACCCTCACTCGTACCCCCTGTAAGGAAAACAAATTTAACGGAATAGAGTGAGCTAAAACTCAGTGAGATTCCAAAACTTCATGCAGATCCAAGTAGCAAGTTGGCCATATGTAAAACTTGAACTCTTAAAATGAGCGAGTGTAAAAGTTCATAAAAAGAAACAATAACATGACAAGTAATAATCATTTCAAAGTATAAGTATACGAATGACTCTCAATAGTCAAATTCCCGTTGCTTCACCAGAGCTTGATCAAGTAGTAGTTGACACTCCGTCAACTTTCAAGTAAAGTAACCAGTCCAGTAGAGCACCACTTAACTACAATCTCCGTCCACCATTCAAACCCCCTACCGGGCCCAAAATCCTCAACAAACACGGGTGGTAATACTCGAGCATACCGATTAGTCGAGAAGATAACACTCCACTCGACAAAACAAGAGACTCAGGATTCGTTACCTATCGACCAAGCCCTTGCCGCCTCGACTCGAGTAACTAGCCACAGGGTTTTTGGAATTCCAGAGAGTGCACACATCATACACAAGTATATCAAGTCAATTGCAACAAATAAACAAGTATATATCACATTAGGGCAAGTGCGATAAAGTACACCCTTGCCCAACCAAACCAAGCAAATCTTATCCGATCACGTTGATAAAGAATTTAAATCAAGTATCAAGTTCAATCATGTATTTAGAAGTACTCACCAAAAATTTAGTGCTTGTCAAAATCACGCTCAGGTACAACTCCTTGGTTGGAGTCCAAATCTGCGATAAAATATCATTTAAGAGTTTAAAATCCATTAGGGTTCGAAACATAGGAGTTTCGTTTCAAGAAAATCAAGTAAATAAAACTTGTTTAAGTAGTAGTCATATGGCTTCTCAAACTCTTGAAAATTCATGCTCGCTCTTTTAGTTTCGATAAAGCAGTGATTTATACTTTGGAAGTCACACTTGGTATGAAAAATCGAGAAAATAGTATTTTTAAGGGTCGCTACTTTTACCTTTTAAAGGGTACAAGTTTCGGCAAAATGTTCAACTTATGTACCTCTTATTAACGAAAACTCGAATACCATAAACAAGCTAAGTTTGCTTCAACTCGAGTCGTCACACAAGTTTCAAGTTCACTCGCCTAACCCTTGAGCGAAAATTTATGCAGCATGCCCTTTGTATTTATCCATTTTCCTATCCAAGTACAACTTGGATTCACAAGCCAACAAACCTCCAATCCAATCACAAGTGATAACCAACTACATACATCTATTCAAGGTCTCAAAACCAACTAAACAAACCAAATAATAACTTATCACCATGGACCAAAGCTGGAAACCAGTTTAAAGAAGAACTTATAAATGGCAGATTTGTTATCCTTCGATGTTTTGGTCATAACTATAGCTAAGTATATCGGATCGAGATAAATTTTATGTTGACCTTGGTCGATCAATCCTTGGTTTTGATTATTAACAAACCAAAATGTAGATTTGGGCTAATGTTTTTATGTGAGCAATTTGTTAGAACAGATTCTTGTGGCACAAAAGAAGAAGCAAAAACAGGGCACTCATGTGGGACGTCCGAAAGGAAGCTATCGGACGTCCGAAAGGATGAAGAACATCAAGAAGGAAACTCTGTCGGACGCTCGTGAGGAAGCATCGGACGTCCGGAAGGATCGGACGCATGCATCGGACGCACATCGATCGCATCAGACGTCCGAGAAATTTCGCAAAGATTTGATGACTCTCTGACGACGTTCGGACGCAGGGTTCGGACGTCCGACAGGTGGTTCGGACGTCCGACAGGCCAACGGCTAGTTTTGACAGCATTTAATATTTGACCGTTGGAGAGCCTTTTGGAGTCATTTCTCACCTTCTATAAACACCCCAAAGCACAAGAAGACAAAAGACTTTTGCCAACACAAAATACAAGCTTACAAGTGAGATTTTTGAGTAGAAAGATTCTTTGTTGGTTGTATAAGGGGTTGGGAAGTTGGGTTGTGAGGTTGCTCAAGTGAAGGTTATTCTCTAGGAGGAGTAAAACCTTGGTGAAGGTGAACCTATCACTTGAAGTGGTAAAACCTTGGTGAAGGTTGCCTCATTTGTATAAAATAGTTCTTAATTGGGTGAGTGATCTTTCAAGTGTAGGTTGTTGAGGGTTAACTAGAATTGTTGTAAAACTCCTTGGCTCAACCAAAGTGTGTTTGGGGTGAGGAATGAGTGAGCCTTCACTTGTACATCTTGGTTAGCATCGCCATCAATTGAAGAGGCTATTGGTTTGATATTTGGTTTGCATTTCTTATCCTTTCTCTTTAATTAAGTTTTCTTTATTGTGCTTAAATTTGATATATCTTTGTGCATCATTGTGAATTTGTTTGTACTCATTGGGTTGCACCGGGCACTTACATTTTATGGCATTTCGAAGCTAAGACATAGACCTACATTTCCCATGAAAACATCGACACCCAGTTCTCACATTTTCAGGGTAAAAAATGGATGGTCAGAAACACATAAAAAACAGGTCAGGAAAATTAGAGTGTTTGTGCAGTCAGGAGTTCTTTGGCCAAAACATAAGCTAAAATGATCCAATTGATCTGAAAATATTCAGGTAGAAAGTTAACTCAAATCTTTATAACTTTTATGTTTTGTCCAAAAGCTGATTCAGTCTAAAACATGGAGAAATTCGCAGCCTAAGTTGAGTCCAAAAACAGGGTAGAACTGAAATTCCTTACCAAATGCTGGAAATTCAACTTTTAACTCTAAAAAGTAACATCAATCTATTAATCACTTCATCAATTTCATATCCTAGCTTAATAACATTATTTACTAGGTATACAACAATAATCAAAGCTGAAAAATGCAAACCCTAGCTAAACATTCCACTACACCATCAAGAACTAAACAATCAACCATAGCAAGCCAAGATTAAAAGTTTCTATACCAAACTTAGCAAGATTAACCAAGAGAAAACGAAGTGGATCATCTTATACCTTACAATACTTGTTTCTAAGTGAAGAACCAAGCTCTTTCTCCCAAGACTTTCACCTTTCCTAGCTTCCTAAACACCAAGAGGTAAGTTTAATCGGTTTGGTTTGTGTGATTACAACTCAACAAGGAAGAATCAAGGTTGGAGTTGAAGTTGTTTTTCTCTCTTTTTTCCTCTCTTAGTTTTGGCCACCAAGCAAGAAAGAATGAAGGAAATTTAGCTCAAATGAAAGATAAGTAGAAAGGAAATGTTTTAGGTCAAAGGTTGCTTGAATCCTTGGCACTTGTCAAGCCAAGATTTCCCTTCTTTGTTTTCTTTTCTTTCCTTTCCTTTGGTCAAAAATAGTGGCTGTTTTATAGGATATTTTAGGGGTGATTAGCTGAAATAAAAGCAAGGAGATTAAGGTAATAAAATAGTGTTCCAGTGGTATACTCAATCGGTAGCAAACGGTGCACGGCGGCTCAAGCCGATTTTCCTTAACTCGCGCATACTTGTGTTTTTACTTATGGTTCACTAGTTTATTATTAGCACTTCTAATCACACACTTCCTCTCATCTAAAACTCACTCTTAACCACCAAATTTAGTACACACACCTCCACAATTAATCACACTACCAAAATATGCGAAAATCCTAATTTACCCTAACTATAAAACTAAGGGTAAAACTCTTAATTCTATTATTTATTACAACTATTGAGGGAGAAAATGAGTAGTAAAGATATTATAAAGTAATTTAATCAAAATAAGAGGAAATTTTTAAGAAAATATGAGCGAATTTTCCAGTCGTCATAAAAGGAGCAATGGTACAACAAGAGAGGAGTAGCAGAAATGAGTAGGAACTGGTGTGTGGAAATTTTTATGGAGTCTAAACATGAAACACAAACTCAAGCACTTTATATGGAAAAGTCTGCAAAATATATTACCAGGAAATGAAGTGATTAAAAGAAGAATTGGAAGAGGATCTGAATTATGTGCTTGCTGTGGGGAGCAACTTGAAACTCTAGAGCATATGTTTTTCTTTTGTAAACATGCAGAGCTGATTTGGAAAGCTTCTCCAATACAGTGGGATGGACTACTGGAGTTCAGGAAAAGCTTTTGGCTATGGTGGAACAATCTAATGGAGGCAAAGGAGAGAGGTGCAGGAAGGGAACATATTTGCCTTGTAGTGAGTATACTATGGCAAATATGGAAGTCTAGGAATCGAACTCAGTTTAACAGAGAGGAAGCATGCCAAGGGAGAACAGTGCTAAAGGTAGTTAATGAGTGGAATGAATATGATTCAGCTCAACAAACAGATAAAGAGGTTAAGATAGAAGAAAGGGAGCAGTAGGAGGAACCAACAGAGTGGTTGCCTCCAACAAAGGGGATTGTTAAATTGAATATGAATGCAGCCTTAAACACAGCAAAATATAGAGCAGGATGGGGAGTGACTGCAAGGCAGGAAGATGGAGGGATCCTGAGTGCTTGGGCTGGAAGTGTAGAAAGAAATGGTGAAGCCATGGTAGAAAAAGATAATGCAATTCGAATAGCACTTATTAAAGCTGAAATGATGGGGTGGAGGAGGATTGAAGTTCAATCAGATTTCAAGGGAGTGGTGGAAAAAATCAAGGGAGGAAGCAGGGATGATCTAAAGATTGGAATAATCTTAGAAGACATACTTAAGCTGAGGAACATATTTGGTGAATGTTACTTCTCTTTTGTCAAAAGGGAAGGGAACTTTGTGAGTCATCACTTGGCAAAATTTGCCATTCAATTGATTGATTACTGAAGTAGATTGGAAAGGGTCTTTTCCATCTTAGTTAGTGAGATTAGCCAAGAAAGATGTAAGAGCAGTTGCTCAACCTTTGTAATCTTTTTTGAGGATTAATGAAAATTGTTATCGTTTGGAAAAAAAATTATTTTGCTCCACCATGGTCGAAAAGCAACCGCTACCTCAACCACAGCCCATAGCCATTTCCCCCATCACCATTTCCTTCCACTACCACTTGCATAAACTGCGGCGGCCCAACCTACAACCCCATTCTCTTCTTGCCAGCCAATCTCCCTATGAACCAACACTAAAGAAGCCATCATGCGAACAACTCCGGTCCCACAGTCCCAAAAGGTGGTCCTGCTGCAACCTCCCTACAGCTTCCAAACCCCAGATAATCTCCAACCAAAACGACATCGTCCGGCTCCACTTATCTTCTACTTTGGCTAGCTTCCTATACTTTGTTGTTTCCCTTTCTAAATCCATCAAATCTCACAAGCTCTCCGATCCCTGCCACCTGTCTCCTGTTGTCTCCACTGTTATTCGTGTGATCGAGAAGTTGATTGCGTTCGTCAGTGAAATTTCTCCGGAGTCCCAAGCTGCTCGATCCGGCAACGTGGCGTACTAGACATGGCATCATCGCATGAGCTTCGATGCTGAGTCATTTATGCTGCTATTGCTTCCTCTCCATCTTCGTGATGCAGCTGTTGAATTAGTGCCCTATTTTACTGACAACTTTGACAATTCAAACCCCATTAATTATGATAATTTTTTAAATTTACCTTTTTTTAAATTTTGGGAGTAGTTTTTGCTTTTCTTTATCTATTTTTGTGATTATTATTTTTGTGTTTTTTAATTTGCTTTGGTTGTCTTTTTTTTGGGGCAGCTTGATACACAAAGATAGGAAATCATTAAAAATTATTTGGAGGTTTGTTGTTATCAATGGATAAGTGAGAGGTACATCATTGGACTGACTTGGGATTTATATGGCACCAAAAATAATTATCAAGAAGGGGAAAGAGTGGCTCGAATTGCTGAAAGTGAGACTCTTTATTGGAAAATTAGGAAAAGGAAACTTCATTTTTTATGGACTGATGTAATTCACTAGAGGAATGATGACCTTTAGTTGTCAATTCATGGCATTACTTTTGCAAGTTTTTAGTGCTCGCATGTGTATTAGAGTGTTTTAGTACCCATAGGTTGTGTAAAGGATGTTGGAAGTTTTGCAATATAGTGGAGCCTTTAAGTTTAAGAGTTCAGTAGTGATTCATGCAGTTGAAAGGATTGGGGGCTGAGATGATTAGACCTACAGTCTCAGCATGGGTTTATGATAGATGGTAAACTGGGGAATGTCCTCATTTGTTAGCATAGGGGAAAATGTTTTATTTCATAATAGTATACTTGATAATATGTTCTGGAAGCATATAAAGGCATGCGTGAAGTTGTAGCTTCCAAATTATGACTTAAGTAGTTGAATGGATAGTAGTGGATGAGTTGTAGGTTTACTTGTATGATTGCTAAGCTATTAATTGTATTGGATGGTTGGAGTTTTGCTCTTATTTAATCTTAGGAAAGTTGAGGTTCCATTACGCTCATAGATTTTTTGATGTTATCAATAAATTCTTTTCCAATTTTATTGACTTAAATTGAAATTTGTAAAGATAGAGGAAAATTGGATGATGGTAAAAGTTAAGTGGAAAATACGATGGTCAAGTCCAGTAGTCTGTAAGTCATTATCTTATAGCCCTTATAGGCTTGTTAGGTAGAAGGTAAATACTATCAAAGAGTTATTCTTGAAGGAGCAAAATATTCGGCTACCAGAAATTACAATACATAATAGAACTCTATAGTTGAAGGGTTATGTAGCAAACACTAGAAGATAGCATCACAAAAGGTAGTACTATGCTCAATATCTTCGACTAACCGCATACCTGTGAAGGTTAAACTATGCCTAGGGTGATAAATTAAAAGAAATTGATGAAAGATTGTGCATTGTTTCAGCATTTACCTATAACTAGGCTCTTAGATAAAGCGACAAATTATTTAAGTTTGGCCACAGGTAGAACAAGGACATATTCGAAAAGAATAGAGAGGCTATTCCTTTTTTTGGTTACTGAGTTTGTCTTTAAGCATGTTGATAGGTTTGGTGTTTAGAAACTGTATGCATCTTTTAGACAGTGCCCAGGCAGTCTAGTGTGTTACATTTGGCTGTGAAACTTGTTTTTCTTGTTTCGTATCATTATACTTGCTTGCTAAGGCTTTTTGAATGCTTTGGTCCTGATCTCGGTTTAGCTCTTCAACATAATTGGGCATCCTTCCTAACATATGAAAATACCAGGAAATATGCCTGCCCAACTTTTAACCTTAATCCAAACAGTGGAAACACCATAAAACTGGGGTTTTGTTGATTTTGCAAGCAATTGCATTGCAGTTGATGAACATAGTTGGTTCTGTTTTCTCCTTTATTCACCATTCTCTATCTTTGTATCCTTCTGTTTGGGAATCTCATAACTACTTTTGCTTGAAATGGCTTTGTTTTCATTAGCTTTTGTATTTTCCTTTTTGTGTCTTGAGATGAATGGGCCATGAAACCAAGTTTGTAGCATGGTTGTACTGCTTAGCAAGATTGCAAATTGTTAAAGAATAAGATAATCAAGCACACTGGTTTCCTAGGTTTTTGTGAAGCACTTGGAGTTGATTCAGAAGTTGCAATTGACGTATTCTCTTAAATCTGCAAGATCCCATGGAGTATTGGGGCTCAATGACTATCGCATTTTACCTTTCATATTTGGGTCTTCACATTTGATTGACCACAAGTATATTAAGCCAAAATCAATTCAGAATGAGGATATATTGGAGAATTTTGCAGGTGAATATTTGTACTTGTCATGTATTGTATGTATAAAGAATGATAGAAAGGGATTGTGTAAGGATCGAAGACAACCTAAGAGGGGGGTGAATTAGGTTGATTATAAAAACTAATCAAGTTATAGACACCTTTTTGTTCAATATGAAATTTACCCTCTTTTCTAGGTGACCACACAATGAAACAATTAGTAAAAAAGTAAGATTGCTTGGGAGTAGAAGAGATCAGCAATTTAAAGATCACAAGATAACAATAAGTAAATAAGAAGGGAAGAATTGCAAACCAATTGACTACCAAACTCCTCTTGAGCTTGTAGATCAATTTATAGAACAAGTTTCTTCAAATTGATGAAATACAACCAATCTTGTGTACAAAGGAAGGTTCACTTCCTCCTTGCCCCAAGTTCTACTCGGTCAAACTAGAAAGTTTTACTATCTCTCAGGACAACCCTCACAGAGCTACACTATTGAAATATTCACTCACAAATGAAAAGTTTACAACGAACTTCACACCACCAAAACTACAAATCTTTCTTGAAGAGTATTTTCTCATTAAAATCACTCTAGATCTTTTGTATCTTCAGTGTGCAAAAGTTATTTGGAGTTTCTGACCATGTTCTATTTATAGGAGACCAAGAAAGTGCTTCATTAATGCTTCCAACGGATAGAAAATAGTTGAAGAGTCAACTAGCCGTTGGAAGTGTTGGACGTCCGGTACTCCTTTTTTTTGCGTCCGACAGTAGGCAGTGACTTTGAGAAATTTTCTTCAATTCTATCGGATGTCCGGTATTGTCTTTGTGAGCGTCCAACAGCTTTCGTCGAGTTTGAAGGATCCTATCTGACGTCCGGTACTTCCGTCCGATAGCAGACAAAGAGTTTGAAAGATTCTATCGGACGTCCGATGCTTGCGTCCGATCGAGGTCAATGAGCTAGGGGGAATGTCTTATTGTGATAGCCCCACTTTCCCCTAAGGTGAACCAAAGGGGTTAGCGGACTGCCTGCCCAGCTCTCGCCAGAACTAACGAGCAGTTACACGTGATCGAAAGCGTTCCGGGAAAGTAAAAGCGCGCTCGGACAAGCCAAAATCACAAAATAAAACAAACGAAAAATCGGAGCCGATATGAAAAGTGCCAGGCACGACAGAATCCGGCCGGATTCCTGGCCGGATACAGGCCAGAGAGCAAAAGGCCGGATTCTTTTTTTTTCCCAAGGCAATCCGGCCGACAATCCGGCCAGTTTCTGGCCGGATTCGACCCAGTCCATTCCCGCCAAAATTTTTTTTCTTTTGCCGTTTAAAAACCTAATCCATCCAAAATCCAACCAAATATCATTCAAGCAAAAACACCTTGAAATTCAATATTTACAAGCCAAATAACATGCAAAAGCTATCCAACAAGTTTATACATGTATGGTTTGCAAATTTACAATTCAAAAGGAAGGTCGGATCTAAAACCGACTAGGGTTTCATTCATTGAGGAGCTATTCAAAATGTATTCACAACTAGCTCAACTCGGCAACCAACTATCAAAGCCATTCCAAAAGTATTCAAATTCCTGTAAGGAAAATAAAAGGAATAGAGTGAGCTTACGCCCAGTGAGATACTATCACTCAAGCAACAAAGTTCATATAAGCATAAAGCTTTTCTTTCCAATTCATCTACTAGGAAGTAAGCCAAAAGCACACATCAAGAGAATTGGTAAAAGGATACGGACGGC